CAGTATTAAATACTTATATTTTTAAGCCTATATAAAGTCGCTGTCAGGCGCCTAAGTATTGCAATTTAGGCAGTTACTTTCTACACGATTCCGAGAGTTATTTTAAGGGTGCTGACGGTTGAGACAAAGTTTTTCAGCAATCTTAGGAGTAGGGTAAATGTTCCAAGTCCTAGACAGTAGGTAGGAGTAGGAATACTTGTTCTAGAGAGATTTGAGAGAATCTATAAGGGATTTACGATAACATTTTGTGTAGCACTGTGGAAAACATCGTCTGGTGGAATTTGCTTCTCTTTTTAAAGGAAAAAACTAACTATCGTGTGTAATCTTATTTGATTATTGTTGTAAACACATTTTGTTTAATTTGCTTGGATTGAATGAAGTTTTTTTGGTTTTTAATACGTGTAGTGAGTAAATTTTATATTTTTCTCATGTGATAGAAAGGTTAGATTTGTAGGGTTGTGAATGCTTTGAATTGATCTTTATTTTCATGTGTGAGTATATCTCTAAACTTAATTTACATGTTATTTTGGTTATATAACTTGTTAAAATTTATTGTGATTCATTAAGACTCGAAAGAGCGGTGACGAAATATTATAGAATATTCACATTGTGCACTATGAAAGATAAGTCATGAAGTAATGCAACTTAGGGAGATTCATATTGATATAGTTTGAATTAGGAGTTTCACGTGGTATTAGACGGAAAAAATTACCTAAACTTGAATCATATTTATTTATGCACTCAGAAGAGGGTAAATGAGGCTTATGCTCTTGTTGTCACTACTACATTACAATTCTTAGTATCAACACCTATAATCTACCTAGAAAATCACAAGAGAGAAGTACATTTATCAATCTTGAATTTCACCTTTTTAATTGATCTCAACAAGTTTAACTTAGGAGTAGCTATTAGAAAAACCATTTTTAGCGTTCTTCCAAACTAGGACTTGAAAGTAGTAGGCAAGAACTCACCCTTAGGTTGTTATTACTACGAAGCACCTGTCACCTTTCCCAGTGGGATCAACATTTTGGACTCAAGTAGAGCCATACATTACGAAAGAGATGCGTGCACTTGCATAGGAACCCTGACACTTGGGTGGAGAATTTGAATTAAATTAAATTATCGTTAAAGTGTTGGTAGCTATTGGGGCCATCAAAAGACTACTCAAAAAACATTAAGAAAACACCACAAAACATTTTTGAAAACAAGTAAATCCAATATAGAGTTGTGTTTACAAAAATACAAATATAAGGCTACACAATACTTAGCTTTCCCCTCTCTTCAATGTGTTGAGAATGCATACCTCAAGGATCATCAAGTCCCTTTGTTGCTTTCCTCAAACGTCTTCTCACTTTACACTTGAACATCTCATCAAAACCTAATCTATCCTACAAAAAAGCATTGACTATAGACTTCGATCAACAACAAAAAAGACTTATTTTCCTTCTCTAAATGACCCCCTATATCGGGTTGAATTACTTCCCACGTGTTGACAAATTGCTAAAAATTGTCCACACAATTTTTGGCGCCTAGGAGCCCAAAAATCTGGGGCATAGGCGATTGGTTTTGAAGCCTTGGCGCAACCTGGTTGGCGCTAAGACACCAGCCTCTGTCTCTCAGGATGGAACTGACTCCTAGGCACCCAAGAAAGCTAGTGCCAATGTGCCAGTCACCTAGTTGCTCCATAGGCTGAATTACCTCTACTTCACTCCATTTCTTTTCCACTTTGCCAAACTCCTCATACATGTTGTAACTATAAGAAATATATAAAAATACATTTCTTTAAAGTGCAATTTCATCCATAAACATGTGCAAAAATATAAAGGAAATCAAGTATTCTTTTCTACACATTAGTTGTTCGATCTTGTGGTTGAGGAAGTTATCCACCAAAAGACAAAAATGTTTTTATTATATAGGCTATAAATAGAGACACTCCCTTCACTTGTGAGGAGATGGAGAAAAAGAGAAATTTTAGAGCCTGTTATGGACTAAAGGCCCAACGATAACTTTCGACCTCTATAATCACCAACCACTGTCGACCATCTCCAGTTAGCCATCTTTAAACACCGTCGACCATCTCAACTTGTCGCCGATGACGTCTTGCTTTTAAACATCATATCCCAAATGCGACTCTAACATGTTACATCCGTAATAAAAATCCGATGATAACATATGACATCTATAGCTGCCAGCCACCGTCAATACTTGTCGTTATGGACTAAAGACCCAACGATAACTTTCGACCTCTATAATCACCAACTACTGTCGACCATCTCCAGTCAGCCATCTTTAAACACCGTCGACCATCCCAACTTGTCGCCGATGACGTCTTGCTTTTAACATCATATCCCAAATGTGACTCTAACATGTTACATCCGTAATAAAGATCCGATGATAACATCTGACATCTATAGCTGCCAGCCACCGTCAATACTTGTCGTCACCGACCACCAACTACCACCGACGACCACTGCTTATGATTGTTGTAGTCATAATGCGGTGATTGTCCCTAACGCCTGTATTTTTCTATACGCTTTGCACCGACATGTGATCTCTCAATTGTAATAAAAGGGTTTACATTTGTACTTACACACATATAATGAGCTCTATAATTTTTTTTCATTCAGAGATTTTCAATGTAAAAAATTTTGGTGTCTCATCCTGCTGCTTTTATAATATTTGTGTGTGTTATATTCTAGTACAATGCTAAGACATCAGATTATCATTTTATCGTCATATTTTTGCTGACACGCAATAATACTTCACTTTTAGATAGTGATATTTTTTACGGATTTGAGTATTATGCATGTTAATATTAAATTTAGGTGTTAGATATATAAATATAAAAAAAGATTGTGTGACATGTTTATAAACATAAACGCCTCTATAAATAAATAATTAATGAGTGCGTTGAATTTTGCAGCATTTAAAAAATCTTCACGTACCTTATTTTTCAAGACTTTCTTTATAAACAACTTCAATCTCATGGAATTTCTATCCCCCAAGTCACGCCTTATGCGAAGGCTATATTCCACTTCCGTCACGCTTGCTTTAACTTCATTTCCGCCAATATATTTTCTCCCGCCAATCCAGAAAATAAATAGAAAGTAGAAAGCATACGCATTCGATAGAGCCGCGATCGAATGCCAGACGCAGCTATGGATCTTCCGGTCGTCGATCTCGCCCCATACATCGAGATCTCCACCAAAAACGACGGTGGCTTTTTGCCGATTGAGGTGAGGGACCTGTGTTTGCAAGTGAGCAGGAGCTTGCGGGAGACGGGAGCTCTTCTGGTCAAAGATCCGAGGTGTTCGACGGAGGATAATGATCGGTTTCTTGATATGATGGAGAGATATTTCGAGATGCCCGATGAGTTTAAGCGGAAACAGGAGAGACCCGAACTCCATTACCAGGTCTAATTTCTCTTTTGCCATCTATCCAATTCAATTTGTAGGAGCTTTTTAGCATGTATTTGTTGATCTGGTATAGAATTGTGTAAATGAAGACAAGTAGAGATAGTTTATATTCTGATTAACTTGAAAAGTTGATAGCTTTGTAAATCGACTCATCCTGTGAATATATTCTTTTGCCATGCAATTAATCAAATTATGGTTTTTGTTGATGTTGAAAACTATGCTCTCATACTAGTATGCATGTGTTATTTGATTATTATCTGTTTCATTGTTCGCTCTTATTGAGAAAAAGAATGGAGTTTTGCCAGCTGTAATCTATTTTTGTTTGCTTTTTTAATTTATCAGTCTGATAGATCAATTATATAATTAACTTTTTTGGTTAATAATTTCTTAATTCTGATAATCAAAAGGAAATTAAGCCCTTAAATGTCAGGAAGTCACCAAAATAATTTCACTCCTTTTATTATATGTTACTGGTTTTATTATTTTAGGTCCTATACTTTGAATGGCTTGCTTTTCTAACGGATGTTGTGACTGTTATATTTTGATATTGGAGATAATCTTCTCACTATTTTTCTTTCTTCTAACGCATGATTAATGATTTATACTTCTTCACTACTTTGATGCTGGTTTCCTTGCCATGAATTTTTTTAGCTTGCTACTAATTTTCTACACTATTCATAGATTTATGTCTTGAGTCTTAGTTCTGGCATTACTACCGAATGTTTTCCACTCATCTTTGGTCAATAAATTGGGTGTACCTTCCTTAAATGTCTATTGCCAATGCCAAGAAAATATTCAGAATATTGTCTGATTTCTGAATATGGGACTGTTTTGTGTGTTTTTGCTTTGATTTATAACATGTGTGAGTTTTAATATCTTGTCAAGCAACACACATCATTATAGATGCGCTTTTAGCTATCAAGTCTGAAGTTCACAATGCATGTTACATTTGCTTCCTAACCATCATAGTTTGGAGTCCAGGAACTTGTAGCATCAATCAGCACATTTTTCTCTTCCATAAACGTTGCATTTTTTTCCATTTTACTCAACAAAGTGCTAACATTGAATGGGGATGCTGCAATACCTAGCAGTACAATTTTCATATGCATTGCGTTTACCCCCATTTTTACTAGAAAATAGCTAACGTTGAATGGGTAAGAAGGCAGGTTGGTGTTACACCTGAAGGAGTAGAAGTTCCACGCAGTCTGATAGATTCGTTTTTGCAACAAAAGATAAAGATGATGTCACCTGACTCCCAACCATCCATTCCTACTAGGAAAGATCCTAAATGGCGTTATATGTGGAGAGTTGGTTCTCGCCCCAAAAGCACTCGCTTCAAGGTCATAATTAGTTCCACTGTTGCTCAATTAGCTCTTTCAAGCAAGCTTGTTGTTAGGTTCATATGATGCATAATTCTCCTCTATGCAGGAATTAAACGCAGAGCCTGTAATACCTGAAGGATTTCCTGAATGGAAAGAAACCATGGATTCGTGGGGTTCGAAAATGATTTCTTCTATCGAGGTGCTTGATATGTGCTTTATTCTTGTATATTGTCTAGAGAAAGTCTAAGGATTTTTTTTTTGCTGTTGGTCTAAAATCTTTATTTAATCTGCAAAAACGCTTTTTCAGGTTGCAGCTGAAATGGCTGCTGTTGGATTTAACCTTCCGAAAGATTCATTCACTTCATTGATGAAACAGGTAATTTTATTTTGTGGTTTTATGTGCTTATATATTTATTCTCCTACTGATAGATACTTATTTGGATGGATGATGGTTCTCAAACTAGCAAGTTAATTTGTTGAGGTTCCGTTTTTTTTAAATTTTTTTGAGGGAAAAAGAAGTCATTCATTGTAACTAAAATATCACAAACCTGTTTTTTTTTTGTTTGGGTAAGCAGTATGTGTATGCCTTTGGTAAATTTAGCCCTGATGTTGAAAGTCTCAAAGCCATCCTGGAGAAAGTTTTTACCATATAATGAAATACATGCACTTGTTTAGTAGAAACCTCTTATTTTTGAGAATTTGCTTGCGTGAATATGATGTCCTTATGCTTCCCCATGCTTGCATAAAAATGTCATGGGGGGATGCATGCATTATCTTTACTGAGTATGTCTCTTTGTCTATGGATTTTTGTGTTTGTGGTGTTGTGTTTGTGCTGATAGAAGAGTTCAGGTTGTCCGAATGCATTCAACATGCTTTTGAGTAGTGGACACAACTTTTTTCATAAGAACGAGCTCGCTGGAGTATGAATGACTTTATGCTTCCACATGCATGCATGAATGAGTCATGGGGTAAAACATGCAGTATCTCGACTATATATTTCTCTTCGTCTATGTATTTTTGTGTTTATTGCAGTATGTTTGTGTTTATTGATTTGTGCATGTCTATGTGTATGCGTTCAACATGCATTTGAAGATATTTTATGCATAGATGCTGTAAAAACTCACACCTATATTTACTCAATATAACAAATCTCATCCATAGTTCTTAGTATTCGTTGAATCAAGCTAAACATGCACTAACTTTTGTGTTAGTCCTTTTCTTAGACATTTAATGCTCTGTGGCATTGAATGTTGGCCTCTAAAGAGAAGCATAATACTAAGTTAAGTGTTGGCGCAATGAGAATGATTAGGTGGATGAGTGGCTTTACCCTTCGAGACAAAATGCGAAATGAATATATCCGTGATAGGGTTGGTGTAGCTCCAGTGACAGACAAAATTAGAGAGAATCTTCTTAGATGGTTTGGTCACACTAAACGCCGACCATCTGATTATCCGATTAGGAGAGTAGATTTTTTAGATTCGACTTATGTTAAGAAAGGCAAAGACTTTGGCTTCTTGTATAAAAAATTATCTTAATTTATTAGAACTTAATGAAAATTTGACAATAAATAGGACGTAATGGAGAAAAAGGATTCATGTAGCTGTTGAGTAGCCGACCCCACGTAGTGGGATTAAGGCTTTGTTGTTGTTGTTGCCTAACATTGTCATTGACAAGCACCTTCAAAACAACCTAATCATTCGATCTTGTTAGATGCTTCAAGTTTTCTCTCAGTTATTGGCAACCTCTCATGCATAGGCTGCTACTTTTACCCCCGACATATAATGTGGATGCTTGGCCATATTGTGTCATTTATTTTGTTATGAAGATGGTCAAGAAACTTGTATGCAAAGGCTTTATAAGAATTGAGCTTGTAAACTCAATGTGGAAGTGCCTTGAAGACTGAAATACAATGGACTGCAAAGAAACATAAAGTGATCATGCACATATAGAGAAAGAGACATCCATTTATGATGTTTGAACTTTGTCCTAAGCAAAGTCTATATTTATGGGAGAGGAGAGAGAACTCATCTACTATTTACAACATTCAAAAAATAGTTTTAAAAAAAAATACTCACCAACCATTTCCAAGATTCAAGTGCTACCCCTTCCCTTAAGTGGACCTATTAACAAGATTTATCCATCGGATTTACTAAATCCAGCTAAACATAAAAAAATGCAAGTTTTATGGATTTATGAAATTTTGGTTTTAAGGTCTGAATTTTACCTTTGATTCATGTTTAATTCAGATTTAATAAATTCAATAAAGGGTTGGATTTACTAAATCCTACTAACTCTAAATTCCTTCTCCAGCCAACCACCCCTTTAATGTCTTGGTAATAACTTGGATGTTCTTTGTGGCTATTCTTTAAGATCAACACTCTAGGCTTCTAGAGATTGAAGGATTGTGCATCACACAATCTCAAAAGCCTAGATGATGCTTGACTAGAACATCCGTGTTTGACATCTAAATCATAATTTTTGCACATTTAGGTGGATTCTTAAAACTAAAAGTTCACCATTCATTAAATTTCCTTAGATCTACCATGAATGTTTTCTTGCTCTTAATTTTGTAACACGATATTGATCCATATTATTGTTTTTTAAAGTCTAAGCATCTTTTTATATTAAGCTTTATTCTAAACTTCTTTTATAGCTAGGAAGTTAAACATTTATGTATTTCCTTAAAATGCAATGCTACAAAATAGATGAAGATAAAACTTAATTGGTTTCCCTCAAAGTTGTTTTTTGCAACCTTTAGAGTTTAGCAACTGTATTTTCCTTTATAAAAAATAAGGTGCCTTTGTAAACTTTAAAGACCTCAACAACCCCAAATTATTTTATCCTGCATCATGGAGAGTAATTAGATAAACTTGATTTTTTCTAAGAATTAGTGCTTGCTTAACTTTAATCATTGTTCTAACCAGTCTATCACGCATCTTAATTCTCACATTGCCAAATCGAATGGTCTTGTGTAAATTTTAGTACTGTTTTGCATATAAACTTATTCACCAATGGACTCATTAGTAGAAACCATCTTCTTCTCAAGATCCATATGATATGAACAAGTTAAGGCAAGAATTCCCTGATCACTACACTTGAATCTTTCACCAATTGAAATGTCCCTAGAATTTGTATTTGTCATTGTATTAGCCTATATGGACTTGTCCTCTTTATGGTTGTTACATATTTGTTTTATGTTCTCTCCTCTTCAATGTATGGCAGTCTCTTTTGATGTGCCCAAATTTCATATAACAGTCATTTTTTACCAAGAACTTGATATAATGATTAGACATAATTAAGTTTTTTACTTGCATTTTTTCTCAAATTGTTTTCTAGCAATCTCTAATATATTATTAAGTATTGTTTTATTTGTACCCTTGAGTTGAGAGAAGACATAATTTGACATACGTTAACTCTTCACACTTATAAATTAATTATATTTCTTTAATGCAATATCATTTCATGAAGATGCTTGAAGAGGGAGTAAAGACAATACCAATAACGAAGACAATCATTTTAATATTTCTAATTAGTTCCAAATATTTCCAAGCCTTTTTTATAATTTCCCAAGAGATGCTTAAGTGTCTCTTTAAAAATGTCCAGATTCATTGAATCTTCCAAATGGTGCCTTAAGTGGCTCTTCATAACTCCATATAACCACCCCAAATTCTTCTAGAAAATCCCTTTTCTCATTTCCAACGAATTCCCCAAGAGATGCACGAAGCAACGCTTCAAAAATCGTCCAAATCTGATGTACATCTAGAAGATATTTTGAAAATTATTTTTGGCGTCTAAGCGCCGATTTTTGGTCGCTTAAGCGCCCCCCTCTCTGTTTGGTGGCGCCTAAGCGCCATATTTAGGCGCTTAAGCGCCGGGCACAGGCACTTAAGTGCCCGCTTTCGGTCCCCATGGCTCCGGTGTGCCCCGATTTGACCATATTTGCTTCAGTTTCCTTTGTTTTGGTTTATTTTTATTTTTTTTGCTCCAATCACTCCAAATTCTTCAATTTGATGTATCTACAACCAAAAACACAAGAAAACATACATTTAAAGTGCAATATCATAATAAAATATAACATGAAAAATAGTACATTTTTAGGCATATCAAAATCCCCCAAACTTAAACATTACTTGTCCTCAAGTAATGCTACATTTTTAAAATAATTTATGTAGATTAGAGTTAATGGGCCATCTTTTAGAATTGCTAAAATTTTTGTTCTAAAAATGTGGTAGTTCAAATTAGAAGAAATTTTAGTGAATCAGACTAACCCAGGGTCTAAAATATTTATCATCAAACTTAGAAATTTGTTTTCTTATCCAATTCAGAAATATATGCAGATTTTCCAAATTTCGGATTCTATGAACTTTACTTTTTAGACTTAAGAACTCTCTTAAAAATAATTTTTACTAATATAAGTATAAAAATCAAGCTTAGGATTGTTCTAAGTTCTTTGCTCTAGAAAGACTCAAGTGAAACCAAATTTTTATTAGGACCTCTCCTCAAGCTTCTCACTTTTTTTTTAGGATCTTTTTGAATCATTATTTTTTTCTCTTTTTTTTTTTCCTTTTTTTGTATGTGAGGATTACTATAGCCGGAGAAGTTCATAAATAATTTTGAATTTCACTATCCCCCTCTAAAATTAAAACTTATTACTTTCCTTCACTTGAAAAGATGTGTGTGTGTGTGTGTGTGTGTGTGTGTGTATAGTTTAATTTCTTAAAAAAAATATAATTTTTCTTAATAAAGATAGTTATTCACTTTCTCAAGCTCTCCAATAAATATCCTTAACTCTAGGTTCACCATTTTCACTAAAAATATCAACTAAGATGTTCTACTCCATTTCTATACTTAAAATTTTAACATCCTTAAGGTGACTCCACATAACAATAATCATTAGAAATAAAATGCAAATTTATTTGTAGTAAGAGGATCATCCAATGTAAGATTAACTTTAGAGGACTTTAGAGTGACAGGCTAAAGCCCCTTAATTTGGTCTATTATTTTAGGTTTTGATGCGAGTTGTTAGCCTCCAAGTGTTGTTAGCCTCCAAGTGGAGGAATAAGAGGGAACTCTAGAGTGAGAGCTAGTATCTTTCCTGCCTAGCCCGTCTTCAGAACTATTCAAACTTTAGATTAACCAATGTTCTTTATAGCATCTCTAGTAAGGGTAAAAAATATAATTGCTTATTTATCACAATTTCTCTCTTTATTTGTTTTACTTTTACATTTGTCACTAATTTCATTGCATGAGGAATGGTACTTTTAATATATTAAACCACACTGTCTGATTCTCACTAAGTATTTTAGTTTAGAAGTAGAAATAGTATTGTAGTGATAATTTTAGGATATAATCAAAATCAAACCTTTACTGACATTCAAAGCTCGGGCGTGTTATTCTAGAATAGAACTTCTCTTGAAAGCCGTCGTGATTAGTCGATCTCCGTGGGATCGATATATCTCCGTGGGATCGATATTCGGGGTTTAATCAGAAAACCCTTTATTACTTGATAACGATACACATATTTGCGTAGAATCCCTAAAAATATATTTGAAATCTTACTTTGTTTGGGATCAAGTTTGGGATCAAGTTTCTGGTGCCATTACCGGAGATTAAAATCTTCAAGTAGTGGTGTCAACTTCATAAATCATTACATGTAAAAAATATCAGGATCACTTATCGAGAGTCCGACCACCCCCAGTCTTCCTTTCGCTCGATAATCCATGCAGTGGTCCAACTGGCGTAGTCATTATATGAATTTCCTTTTGGGGGAAGATCATCATTGATGAAATAAATAGCAGGTGGCCCTTGAGTTTTGGGGCAAAGATTGCGGCACAAAATTCTCCTGTTTGTTGTCTTTTTTGACTAGTCTTCCTGGGTTGTTTGCTTCCTCCAAAAATTGCAGGCACATACCCCGCAATGTGAATGGCGTTGCTGCGGGTGGGCCCATCGGTCGTTCCTCCCGCGGAAGTTTTGGCTACTTTTGAGCCGCGGCTCCAAAGTTGATAAATTTTTTGAGCTTCCCCTCCTTTCATCAGCTCCTCGATCATGCCCCGTAGGTGGTTGCATTCTTCTGTATCGTGTTCGTGATTTCTGTGATACTTACAATACTTTCTGCTATCCCGAAAAAAAGCTCGGCCCTTATCGATGTTGCTTTTCTGAAGAACTCCTTATCCTGGATGGCGTCCACTATTTCTACCATAGACACCTTGAGTGTGGTTTCACAGGGGACACTGCGATTATACCAGGGTTATTCACAATGGTGGGGCGATCGATGGTTCTTGGTCTTCGTTTGTCATCTTAGATTCTCATGACTCTGGGTGGAGTGATCGTCGAGGTGACCCTTGTAGCAGAGGCCATTGGAGGTCGTGCAATTTGTCTGGGTTGTCCTCTTCTTTCTTGTGGTAGTCTCTTCTGGTATCTTTGTTCGGTGAGCTTATGTGCGTTCTCATAGGCGATGGTATACATGTTGGCCATTTCTAACAGCTTGGTCATGTTTTTTGGCTTTGCAAGTTCGAGGTCAAAGCGGAAACTCTCCGATCTCACTCTTTGTGTTAACACGGTCTTAGCTATATTAGGCTTCAAGTCCTTGACGTCTAGCGTTTCGCTCTGGAAGCGTGCGATAAATAGTCGCAAGTTCTCGTTGGCTCCCTACTTCAACAACCACAATGATCGGGCCCTTTTCTTGGGCCTCATTATACTGGTAAAATGCTATAGAAAGAGTTTTCTAAACTCCTCAAAACAGGTGATCACCCCACGAGCAACATGTCGAACCACTTTAATGTGGTTGATCTAAACATCGTGAAAAAAAATTTATACTTGAGGGCATAAAAAATTTTCAACAAACATATGGACGATTCGAATGACGCAATGTGGTTATTAGGATTCAACCGTCCTTTTTATGATTCTAAAACAAGCACTTTGAACTTCTCCAGAGGTTCAGCTCCCAAGACGTGTAGGGAGAAGGAC